GGGGGGGGGGGAGGGGGGGGGAGGGGGGGGGGGAGGGGGGGGGGGGGGAAGGGGGGAGGGGAAGGGGGGGGGGGGGGGAGGGGGGGGGGGGGGGGGGGAGGGAGGGGAGGGGGGGGGGGGGGGGGGGGGGGGGGGGGGTGGGGGGGGGGGGGGGGGGGGGGGGGGGGGGAGGGGGGGTGGGGGGGGGGGGGGGGGGGGTGTGGGGGTTGGGGGGGGAGGGGGGGAGGGGGGGGGGGGGGGGGGGGGGGGGGGGGGAGGGGGAGGGGGGTGTGGGGGGGGTGGAAAATTAATTTGTGGGGGGGTGGGGGGGGGGGGGGGAGGGGGGGATGGTGAGGTGGGGGGGTGGGGGGGGGGGGGGGGGAGGGGGTGGGTAGAGGGGGTGGGGGTGGGGGGGGGGGGGGGGGGGGGTGAGGCGGGGAGGGAGGGCGGGGGGGGGGGGGGGGGAGGGGGGGGGGGGGGGGGGCGGACGCGGGGGGGGAGGGGGGTGGGGGGGCGAGGGGGGGGGGGGGGGGGGGGGGGGGGGGGGGGGGGGGGGTGGGGGGGGGAGGGGGGGGGGGGGTGGGGGGGGGTGGGGGGGGGTGGGGAAATTGGGGGGGGGGTGCGGGGGGTTGGGGGGGGGGGGGGGGGGTGGGCGGGGGGGCGGGGGGGGGGGGGAGGGGGGGGGTGGGGGGGGGAGGGGCGGGGGGGGGGGGAGGGGGGGGCGGGGGGGGGGTGGGGGGGGGGGGGGGGGGGGGGGCGGGGGGGGGGGGGGGAGGGGGGGGGGAGGGGTGGGGGGGGGGGGGGGGGGGGGAGAGGGGGCGGGGGGGGAGGGGGGGTGGGGGAGCGGTGGGGGGGGGGGGGGGGGGGGGTGGGGGGCGGGGGGGGGGGGGGGGGGGGGGGGGGGGGGGGGGGGGGGGGGGGGGGGGGGGGGAGGGGGGGGGGGGCGGGGGGGGGGGGGGGGGGGGGGGTGGGGGGGGGGGGGGGCGTGGTGGGGGGGGGGGGTGGGGGGGTGGGGGGGGGGGGGAGGGTGGGGGGTGGGGTGGGGGGGGGGAGGGGGGGGGGGGGGGTCGGGGGGGGGGGGGGGGGGGGGGGGGGTGGGGGGGGGGGGGGGGGGGGGGGGTGGGGGGGGGGGGGGGGGGTGGGGGGGGGGGGTGGGAGTGGGGGGGGGTGGGGGGGGGGGGGGGGGGGGAGGGGAATTGCGGGCGGGGTGGGGGGGGGGGGGGGGGTGGGGGGGGGGTGGGTGGGGGGGGGGGGAGGGGGGGGGGGGTTGGGGGGGGGGGGGGGGGGGGGGGGGTGGGGGGGGGCGGGGGGTGTGGGGGGGGGGGGGGGGGGGGGGGGGGGGGGGGGGGGGGGGGGGGGGGGGGGGGGGGGGGGGGGGGGGGGGGGGGGGGGGGGGGGGGGGTGTGGGGGGGGGGTGGTGGGGGGGTGGGGGGGGGGGGGGGGTGGGGGGGGGGGGGGGGGGGGGGGGGGGGGGGGGGGGGGGGGGGGTGGGGGGGGGGGGGGGGGGGGGGGGGGGGGGGGGGGAATTTGGTATAGTTTATTAGCGTCGGCAAAGATGAATAATTTTTTTGCTATTCACGAGGTTACTGGCCTTTATAAATGCACTCTAATTACCGAAAAGGCAAAGTAGAACAGTATAATTGTAATTTCAATGGGGTACTTTTGCAAATAATCATGAGCTGTTAAAAATGTAAAATTAGTTTTGATATTTCTTCTAGGTAAATGAGATAAAATTTCACCGCCTAGTAATTTTTTTAGGTATTGTAATAACTTTGGCTTTTGATCTTAATGTAATATTACTTTAAATATAACTTACAGCACAGTTTTCGTGCACTGATAAGCTATAAGGTTTTCAATCTGAAACAAATTAGACCTCTTCCATTTTAACACAAAATTTTAAGGGCAGAAAAACTGGACATTTAAAAGCGACACATAGCGTCATTTCCGAAGTGATGTTTGATTTTAATTACATCTTTTTTAATTAAGCACAAAGCTGAGTTCATTGGCCAGCTAGTGAAGACGAAGTACTTCACTTCTCAACATACACTATGATGTATCATAAAACTAACATTCTGCATTCAAATGATAATATTTAATCGAATCGAGATAATATCATACAGTATAAAATTTCTTATCGCACGTGCAAATGAATTTAGTGTTGAAGACAGAATTGTCAAATTTGCACCTCACAATTAATACCGAGTATGTAATCTATTATTTATATTATTAAAAATGAATGAATTTGCCCTCAATTAATATAAGCAATCATAGTGAACTAATTTGTCATATGGCGGCAGTTGAGAACTCGACGAAGAGGAAAATTGCAGAAAATAATTTAAGTTTTTGTTAACACCTGATGCATCTTATCGTTATAATTTTGATTCATCATTTTAAATGCCTTTAAAAGATAGTTTTGGAATACAGAAATAAGTGACATACTACCGGTAAAATGACACGATAGATTTCTGGTCTTTATACTCATACACTTTCACGAGAGTAGTTATCGGAGCAACCAGTGATGTGTTTTATCATACTGATGTGATACATAGAAAAACGGGTATTATCCTGTTGAAATACGAGTATAAAAAGGCAAGTCTGGTCTGTCTGTGGCTTGAGTGCACATAATCACGAAGAATGTTCAAATACAGCTTGAAATCTCTATTTTCGCAACTAATAACCTGTTTGGAGACGTGCCGCCCGTGATTCATAATCAAAATCAAAGATATTGACAACGTTACTGCACAAAACCACTCGAAAAGCAGCAAATCATAAATAAATAACGTGCTAACTTTTATTACATTACCAAATTAAATATTAAATTATGCAGCATGACAGGAAAAATGCTCTGATGTGCTCCTGAAGAGGACCTATCATATCCCTGGATGGTTCCCATTAAAAATACGGTGCAAGCGCCTATCTGCCATCCGTCAGATGAAGCTGCCCTATTTTGCATTTGTCATTAGTTATCAATTTACTACTATAATCGGATATAAAACAGCAATGATAGCTATCAACACGGTCCTCAACACGGCGAGAAATTTGCCTTAATTTTTGACAGATCGCCATCACAATACAGCAAGGTGACGGGCAGTATCGTGGATGTTGTTCCTCTCATATTCCATACAGTTATTTGTTTAAGATGACCCTGTATACATTCTATCGTCTACGTTTGGGCACCATAGAAATATCAACAAAATTCGTCTGATGATTTATCATCAGGTGGGTGTATTACATAATTCATATTCAAGAACCGGAAGCAAAAATACAGGATAGATCACCTCTGTAATTTGTTGTTATAGATACTGCCCAGTACGTCATCTGTTGATAGAATAACGTGAATTATCTCTTTAAAGTAGGCATCATTCATGGGAAACTAAAATCTTCTAGAAACATGTGTCTAACGTCAGAGAGATTTCACATAGCATCTCTCATGCTTTTCGCCTGGAACCAAGCAACAAGAATAATGCGTTTAATATATATATGCGTGTATGTTCATTATATGACGTCTGCGTACTTAAAAATGAAAATGCATTTAATTAAATTGCAATTTTTAGTCGTCGAGTCTGCAGATTTGCTAGAAAGGTTTCTGACACTGATGCCAGTAACCAGCAAATTATATTTCGGGACACACACATAAAATGTTATGTATGATGTTCTCGAACCAATAAACTACCGAAATAATCTTCTGAGCTCCGATTCGGAGTTCCATTTTCTTTTCAACTCTAGTGGGGTGTTGTTTACTCTGCAATGTTTGAGTCATAGTATGGCGATCCTTATCAGGCAATTTGCATTTTCGTTTAAAGCCAACATATTTCTTTTCATTTCATAACTACTCTATTTAAAGTATAGTCTGTTGTAACATTGATAACGGATAGCTGACTACCACTCCGCATGTACAGGATATTTGGAAAAAAGTGGCTTTCGTTAAATATTGATCCTGAACAGGGCATCGACCTACAGTATTTCTCTAAATAAGATGCGTAAATTTTTATGAAACAGCTTCATCACTGGTGATCAAAAGATTCTGTAAATACATAATTTAACTTTTTTTTGTAATCTCCGCGAAGAAGGTGAAATGTTTATTACTTTTTCGTAAGTTAAATATAAAACGTTCAATATACTTATGTACGATACTTTCGGACATATTTGCAATTAGTAATTTCAACGGGCCCGTTTTAAATGTGTTAACTTCCTTTTGTAGTTAAATTAATCACTCATAAAATGGTTGTAAAAGACAAACAAACATTTATTTAAAGATAAATCTTAATAACCTACACGTAACGTATTCGTAAACGCACATAACATAACAAGCGTACTTACTGCATCGTACCATTAAACATTTCTAAGCGTACATCATCTCAAAGTATATTTTTAAAATTATAAATCGAACAACATTCAAAAATTAGCTGTTGCCATTTTCTCAATAGATATTTTGTCTAATAACAATTAAATAAGTTACAATCGTGCTTACATTCGACCATCCTAACTTTTCAATTGTCCTCAATTGAACCAAATCTTATCATACATTAAAACGACAAATAAACAACAAAAATATAATAACAGGTAGGAAAAAAAAATAAAATGAAATATAATTAAAAAAAAAATTCTATAAGTCCTATACAAAGTCTCTATAGCGCAATGGTTTGCGCACTGTTCGCTTGAGCCTTTTAAGTTCGTCGTCAACCTCGTCATTATCATCATCTTCTGTATTTCTGGAAATGATAGCCTCCGAAGAACTGTTTTTAGCACGTGAATCAGCTTGGTGAGGCTTTCGACAACCCATTTTTGATCTGTAAAGTGAACAAGATCTAGATCCTTGACCGCGTGGCTGCTGTTCTTCATCATTTGCTTCAGTATCCTTACTAGTTGCTTCTCCTTCCATTCTACTTTGACTGCATTCAGTGTCATTCCTATGATAGTGTGTTTTGCTATTAAAGCACCTTTGATAAAATCGTCTAGGATTCCAGTGATTGTCTCTTCCACCTCCTGAAACTCTTTCTTTCATTTCTTCGTTTTTTCTTTCATTTTGTTCCATCTTCACTTCCACCACGTCCAACGTTTCGTGGAAGTCCTATGGATAGATAACTACAATATTGCCTGAAGTAAGGATGACGTAATTGCCTTCGTACGGGCCTTTGAGGTTGTAGTTGCTGCTTATCATCTACATTCTCTTGGCTCTGACTACCATCACTTTCGTCATTCTGTCTTTGCCTTGGCATGAAGTGGTGTTTAGAGAACAGTTGGCCACAGTGTCGATTTCTATTTGCAGCATAAGGACTATTTTTCACCGAAGTGCAATTCAGTCTAATCAGATTTTCAGCTTCATTCCTCTTCTCTCGAACAACTTCAAATGAATCTAATTCACCATATCCTACACTTCGAACGGCACTTTTTGTATTGTTTTTCTTTACTGGAGTTTGGTAAACGAATATATCTTCTTTAGTGTCCATTTTTATGAACTCCGTGTACCTGAGTTCTGAAATATTTAGTGCGAAGCTATCTCTGTATTCATTCGAAAGACGCAATAACTCTTGCTGATGAGTAGCGTCGAGATACGAGCCAATTTTAACTTCGCTTAAACTTATGGGAACTTTTATATTGTTATTATTTTCCATTTTTGCTAAGTTCGAGCTCAATTCAGAAATTTCAGTATTTAAACATAGTTCAATTTATTCTGCTCTCCCAACACATTGATCTTTTTGGAGCTTAAAACTTCTATAGCCAACGTTAATCATTGGTATACAAGTTTTGCCATTTTTAATTTCTAATAAACAGCTTATACCTTCGGAAGGATTTTCTATCATAATTAATCCATTATCTACAGAATCTGTTTGAGAACTGACAAGACTGATTGTATTTTTCTCTAATTCATTTGCCTCAAGAGTTTTAAGGCAGACTCGATTTATTTTTTCATCAATTTGGAGGTTACTAAATAGTTCATCTTCTCTATACCCGAAGTGAAATCTCTTTCCTATTCTGACATAAGCGATGTGAGGGAGATCAAGCCATGTCCGTCCGATGATTAGATCAACTGGCTGTGCATTATCAGGTGCAAGGTATATATTTATGCCTTGGCCTTTTACATTATCAACTTCAATATCGGCTTTAATCATTCCTATAGAGGTCACTGCAGGCACCCTTTGATTTCCAAAACCGTACAATTCATTCATAGCAGGCCTGGTTTCACTTTAAGTTTCTGAGCTTTAAGTTCTGAAGTCCTTAAGAGACAACAAGAACTCCCCGTATCAATTAAAGCCTGTACTTCTTCAGAATTATTCAGTTTTGCTTTCTTCAAATATGAATTGCTCTCTTCTAAATTTTCGCCATCTTGCTCAACAGAATAATTTTTATCATTTGAATGATTATTTTCAGCTTTAGTAACACAATTTTTAGCTTTATCACCTGTTTTATTACATTTTCGGCATGTTACTACTGGTTTGGGCAGCGGGCAGTCCCTTGAGATGTGTCCAAAATTATTACAGCTGAAGCATTTTGGTTCACCTTTTTCATTATGTGTGATACCGTAGAGTTTTTTCTTTTCGTTGATTGTAGCAACTGGATCATCTTTAAAGGAGTTTCGTTTGTCGTAAGACCCTTCTTTACGCGGTTGTTTATTGTTGAAAGTTGACTTCAAGGTATCATAATCATCTAGTATTTTAACTAAATCAATTGGTGAAATCAACTCAGACCATATGTCAATAAAATGATCTTTTACTTCTGGAGACACTTTACGCTTTATCTGATCCGCTACAATAAGATCGCTAAGTTTCTCAAAAGTATCTACTTTAATTCCGCTTATCCATTCATTAAAAAAATTTCTTAACTCATACGCAAAATTCTTCCATGTGTTTCCTACACTCTTATTGCGCGTAAAAAATTTTTGGCGAAATTTTTCAGGTGTCATCTTGTACCGTTTTAATAAGATCCTTTTAATTTCTTTATAATCGTTTGCAATCTCATCGGTTTCTCTGGCGATTAACTGAGCAATATCATACGGCAATAAGCCAAAGAAATGATTTTCTGGTATTTCAACTTGTTTAGCCAAACATTCAAACATGATTAAATATAAACTGATATCATTCTCGTCAGGTTTAAATTTTTGCACACTAGCATTTTCATTGGTGCCAGAATTTGTAGATCTACATTCTGCTGAAATGCGTAGTTTTTGCAGTTCAAATTCCATTTCATACTTTCGTTTTCTTTCTTCATATTCTTCTTTTCGCCTACGTTCTTCAATTTCTTCTTGACATTTTCGTTCTTCAATTTCTTCTTTTCGCCTATGTTCTTCAATTTCTTCTTTTCGCCTACGTTCTTCAGTTTCTTCTTTTCGCCTACGTTCTTCAATTTCTTCTTTTCGCCTACGTTCTTCATCTTGACGTTTTCGTTCTTCAATTTCTTCTTTACGCCTACGTTCTTCATCTTGACGTTTTCGTTCTTCAATTTCTTCTTTTTCTTTTCTTTCATTTATTATAATGTTTAACCATTTTTTGGCGCATTCTTCATCGTACTCTTTGCTAGCCAAAATTATCTTTTTCAAATCGCTCATTTTATGACTGTCATTTACATCTTCTCCCAGTTCTTCAGCTAATATTCTTAAATCGCATTTCTTTGCCTTACCGAAAATAGACATTTTCGTACTCATTAAAATGCAAATTATATATATATGCTATTATTATTAACTTCCAATTAGACAACTTAGTAGAACTCAGTTATTGATATTTTATAAGTTTGTTTGACGTTCTAATATATTTCAAAATTTAAAGAAATGAAAAAAAATAAATTCTCTTTCCAAAATGATAAAAAAATAACAAAATTAAATTGTATAATAAATATGTTACATCAATCAATGCACATACCTTGAAATTCAAATTCTTTTCAATTTATTTACGTATAGCAAATTCTTGTAGCTTTAGGCTTAGGTTTCAGAATAATCCCGCTTCTGATTTATGTTAACTTCCTTTTGTAGTTAAATTAATCACTCATAAAGTGCTTGTAAAAGACAAACAAACATTTATTTAAAGATAAATCTTAATAACTTACACGTAACGTATTCGTAAACGCACATAACATAACAAGCGTACTTACTGCATCGTACCATTAAACATTTCTAAGCGTACATCATCTCAAAGTATAATTTTTAAAATTATAAATAGAACGACATCCAGAAATTAGCTGTTGCCATTTTCTCAATAGATATTTTGTCTAATAACAATTAAATAATTTACAATCGTGCTTACAAATGCAAATGCTGTTTTACGGAATATAATCAGTAATCGCCAAAGAAAGGAACTTTTGTTTCGTAGTTTCTTATATGTAAATTTTAAATGAAGTGAATTCTGCCGTGACTCCCGCATATAGAAGTGATCAACATTTTAGGCAACATAAAGTTTGGATGTAAACATTAGTATCTAAGGTAACGAACGATCTTCACAAATCAAAATCGTATTTTGAAAAATACATATTTTAAATAAGTTCCAGTCTTTCTGCAAACTATCATTTTATTATTTGGCGTTTAACTGTTTCATATGTTTACAGTAATTTTTCTCCAATGCAATATATAATTAAGTATAATTAAATGCCACAAGGAAGTTTCGTTTCAGTTTTACCTTTGAGAAATTTTAAGTTTTATTTCCGTAGGTTATGCCAATATTTTTTAAGGAACGAGTATTATTATTTTTATTTTACTATTTAAGTCTATCTTAAAAAACATTTTTAAAATGGCTTACTTGGCTTAAAGAAAGTTAGAAAATTTGAATTAGAAATGAAGCAAAAGCTTATTGATATTTAAACACATAATATTTCATAGCCGTTTTTTTAAAATAACATGATGTGTCAAAGAGCTAATTGATATTTTTGCGCAGGATTTAAAATATATATAAAATGTTTAGTGCTGTCACTAATTTTTTGACGGGAATTAAACGTAAGTTTACATTTACTATTTAAATTTCCGTAAAACATTTATCAAAATCTCTTTGGAAGGAAATGCGATCCAACGGATATATATTTTTGAAGTATTTCATATGTTGCATGCAGGTCGTAACTCCTTTTTATCAAGAGTGCTATATTTGCTAAAAAAAAAAAAAAAAAAAAAAAAAAAAAGTCTTACTTTGAAAGCACTCGTTCATTACCAACTTTTAAGGATCGTGAAGAATTGCATTCCAGTCCCTAATTGGCACTGTACCTCTATTTCAAGGGCATTGATCCCTCGAACCATTGAATGAGAGGATGAAAGGCGCTTTTATTTTGCAGTTTATTTATTTAACTTTTTTTTTCTTTTTTTTTTTTCTTTTTTTTTTTCCCTTTTTGTTAGAAAAAGAACTGCCAAAATAGAACCAGTGCTAACTTATTTAACTCATTCAATTATGTTGCGGCATGGCTACGCGCCTATCGAACGCTTACCATCTTATTAAAACGAGGAAAGATTCATTTATGGTCAATTACTCGGTGCTTTGCAACATAACATGTAGGTGGCCGGGACTAAATGATGTGGGATTTTCCTATTAACTTAATTTTAAATCTAAATTATATTGTGAAGTAAAGTAAAAATAAAGAATAAGGAAGAATGTAGGAAAAGATGATACAGCAGTGAACAATAGATGTAAATTAAAATTCTGAGAAGCCATCAAGGTACTTAGCTTTCATCATATGAATCAGACAGTTAGCTTTGTGTTTTAATAAATTCCTAGGATGTTAAAAAACTTTTTATAATAAAAAATACCACTATTTATGAAAGAAAAATCTATTAAAAAGCACAAAACTCAGTTAAGAATTCGTGGCAATATAAAATTCTTAAAAGTACTAAAGCAGTAAGATCCAGTCCAGACACACTTATACCTAGATTCTTCCAAATAACTGAACATTTCTTACTTCATTTTGTTTTTAACTAAAATGTCAAAAAAGTAAGGTTTCTATGGAAATATGATAGTCAGAGATATTTGTTCGGCTGTTCACCGTTATGACAGCATCGGTGAACTTTCAACTCCTCCCTACAGCTACGATGTCTTGGGTTTCATCTAGATGTGGCAACTAATGTAGGACTTGGTTGTCCTCTCTTCAATGGTCAATTAGACTTCAGAAATTGCTTACTCAGCTGAAACTGAGCAAACTTTCGATTGTAAAGTCGAGTTGCTGTAGCTGAAGTAATAGAATCCGACTAGTGTAATCTGGATTATTTCACACTTCTTGGCTAACGTTTCCACTAGTGCGTAGAATTTATTTCCTGAAAAAAGTTTCTATATAGAATTTGTGATATTAAAAAGTGTACTCCACCCATTTTCAACGTAACATGAAAACAAAGATATCTTGAAAGCTTCGAAATCGAAGTTTGTATTTTATTGAATTTAAGCTCATTTTACGTCAAAATTACTTTACCTTGTACTAATTTCTAAACTGCAAACTTTTTCTTTAAAAAAAATTTCTTTATTTCGATTTATACTCTGTGTACAATCAAGTATCTAAATTAATTACTTTATCTCTGTTAAATTAAAACAGCAGAATGCAAAGGCTACGTGTACGCTGTGTATGGAATAGAAGCAAAAGAAACAGATCATAGTGTGAACTTCCGTACAAAACATTCTTTTCTACGAGAGCTGTGATATTTTATTAACTTGGCTTCTCATAAGGTGTTGACTTGTCTTTACCTTCAAGATACGATTATATACAGATTTAAGATTTATAGTAGATGTCTGGTGAACTAGCAGTAAGAACAGTAGAAGAAATATGTTCAATTCAGCGATAAAAAATAAGTATTTGTCGATCTCGGCTTTGAAATCATAATTTTCATATCGACATACGCATCACGTCACAATAGCATAATTACTATCATATTATAAATGCGATTTAGTGTTTTGAACTTTACCTTCCCAAGGGACAATCCTGTAGTCCAGTGTTTCCCAAACTGTGTTACCTGTGAATACTGATATTTCGCAGATTCACTAAATGTTTCGAGAAAGGTTTTGAAACTGAGATTAAAAAACAACGAAACGTTGCCTTTTTTTTAAATTTTTTTTTTATTTAATACAATATAAAACACCTTAAATTTTAAGGAAATCATAAAATTGCCTGCTTCCAAAAAATCCTAATGACTCTACAATGTAACGCCACACCAGATGTCAGAATAGAATCCGAACGTATGAAAACGAGCTGTTCATAGTTTACTTTCTTTTGAGATAGTGCGAAACAGGGGTTTTACAATATGTTGCAACAAAATCCAAATATAGAAACCGATTTCATGTTGCATTGATATAAGAATTCAGGTTTCTATTATTTTGCCTGATATTAAAAGAACTTCGAATTCGAACGCATCGAAGCCACTGCAAGCTAAAAATGTTTTAATTTTTTATATTATTTGTTTTAACAATTTAATTTTATGCGTCATTGTTTTTGTAAAATTAAAATCTGAAAAACCTTTCTCTTATAGGAAGGATATAAAAACTGGAACAAAATAATATCTAATACATCTGTGTTAACTAAAGCCAAAATTTATTCTAGCGTTCCTTAAAAATT